TTTTGCCTGTTTTCTTTAATGAGGTGCACAATCTGCTCTCGGGTCTGAGCAAACTTGATTCCCCAGCCCTCATTAATAATTTTTATGTCCGGCTGGCGCTGTTGTCTTTCTTCCAGCTCTTTATTTTGGGCTTCCATTCGTCTACACTTGTCCTCCAGTTGAAGTTTCTCTTCTTCAATTTGTTGCATTTTTTTCTGGAGAAGGTAGTTTTCCTTCCTAATCTCCTCTAATGCCCTTTGGAAGGATGAGACGCCATTTGGGGAAATTGGCCGGCCACGCCAGGAAGGAGAAGCGGCATAATCTTTTTGAATTGGTTGTTTTTTTCTTGGAAACATGTTGGAGTTTCTATACGATGACTTTGAAGAGGTTTCCAAATGTTTCTGTGGTGAACGTTTTGTAGGCTGCAAACACAGATGCTGCTGAAACGAACTAAAACTTGCTGTTTCTCACCCCTACTTAAGGAACAAGATCAAAGGACTTAAGATTCTTAAGATCTATGACATCATCACTGCCTAAGCCAATGAGATTGTCACAAGACATTTTGGAATGGGGTATTTTTTTTAAACTGTTTTCAAACTTAACTTAAAATTTCAATGTTTCCTAGTTGTGGACTATTGGTTAGTCCAGCCGATTAAGAAATTAATTGTCACAAACATCTTGTACACTATATGCATGTAAGGCAACCGTTTCCTTTTCCAGTATTTTTGTGTGCTGATCTTTTAACAAAAGGGGAACAAAAGACATTTAAATCGACCTAAGATGATTTGTTCAAATTTTTACAAGGTCTTACTGAGGTGATGCAAAGTGAAACATGCTTTCATCTTTTTTGGTAATGTGCTGGAAAAGCTTGAAAAATTGACCATGAATGTGCTTAAAAAGTGCTTGAATTTGACCCTAAAAATGTGTATGAAACCTGCATATATTGCAGTATTTACAGTTTATAGTAGGAATTTCATGGCAACAGCTAATTTTTATTTTGTTTACTGGTAAATGAAATGCTGCCGGTACTGTTCTCTCTAAGTGTTGAACTCCCTGAGTGTTCATACTCAGGGAGTGTGAACATTCAGGGAGTGGATTGGAGTCCACATGAATGATTACAAAGGTGTAGCCATGCTTTTCCCACTGTTCTCTGCATTTCCTGCTTCCTGTCTATGCACATGTAAAAATAAAAGCCTTCCTGTCTATCCAGATGTCAAAATAAAGATTGACAATTTTCCGATGTATAACAATAGAAATACACTTTACATTTGTGTCATTAGCATATGAACATATTGAAAACAGAACACTCCCCGTTTGGCATTCCCAAATATGCCACTTCATGCTTAACTGTCTTTGGTTGACTTCTGACTCTCTATTGATAAGAGCAAAATAACATCACTTATAGGCCTTGAGAAAGTCTTTACTTTGCCTTGTGATGTTGTTCTGACTTCCACTTTGCGCACCTTCCCATCACTACTTTGAAAGGTGGTAGTGACCAACCCCATCGGCCACTCGTTACGAGATGACTGCTTCTGTTTGAGCAA